AATTAAAGATAAACTTGGCATTACTTTCCAAAACACCATGCGACTTGTGAGAATGGATTGACAGTGAGTGTTTGGTGGAGAAAATACAGGCTTTGGGGTCATCAACTGGAATGTTATTTTGATGTGACTTTGGTTAGGACAGTTCTCCTCCTGAGTCTGTTTCTCCTCTCTGGCAGGACATGGGTATGACTACACCCGCACAAAGGGCCATCGTGAGAGTGCACTCTGACATGACTATCCTGGGGCCTGGCCTACAGAAGGCCCAATAGTTATGCCCATGCTTGAGGCTGGTTCCCTATGGTCTCAGCTTCAGGGCCCGAGCAAGATGCCAGGCTGGGATGTCACCTTATGGTTGTAAAAGTGCCCGTTGATGGAGAACCGGTGTCGCCGGATCTTCTGGGCCTCTCCAGGTGTGCGGCACCTGGGCCTCCTCTGGATCACACAGGCTGCATCGCTCTTGGTCCGCATCAACTGTGGCGTCTCCTCATCCTCCTCCAGGGCCTCTGTAGCTAGAAACAGATGAGGGGGTTAGACCCAGGTGGAGCAACAGTGACAGAGAACTGCTGTGCTCCAGCAGTGGTACTGTGTGTGGGTCTTGGCTCCCTGGAGCCTTGTGGTCACACCACGCTGTAGCAGGAGGCAATGCGAATGCTGTTCCTGTCATAGAGGCTGGGGTCCAGCTCCAGCGATGCCCACTTTGCAGATAGAAAAGGTGACTCCCAGACATGATGACCTGTGTCACCATGCCACATGGCCATAAGTCTCTGGGCCTCCGTCTCCAGGCCCCAGGACAGGCCTTTGGCAGCTCCAGCCCTTTCCTCTGAGCACCCACTCTGGGACGTGCCTTTCACTGAGTGCATGGGAGAGTACAAAGAGGACAGAGCAGTTATGGATCCCAGAACATGAGGAAGATGTCCTAGAGGCTTGCAAGGCCAGGAGGGCACCATGCCCTCTACTGACATTCTCTCCTTTCTATGATGCAGCATGGTGCAGGGGACTCAAGCAACCTACGTCAAACAGCAGCACCTCTATAAGCCTCTGCTGCCCTTTTGGGAAGTGAGGAGTCGATGAGCATGCCTGGTACTGAGGGGGTATTTAGCAAAGGGTTGCTCCTGATGACAAATGAAGCCACTCTTTGCTACTCCACAAAGCTGTTCTTCAGAAATGGTGGTCATGAGCCAAGCTTCTCCTCCCCTACCCTGGATGAGTGAGACAGGGTCCTGGGTAGCTGGAGGCTCCACTTACCTGAGCTGTCTCTGGAACTCTCAGCCTGCTGCATGGGCTGAGCACTTGGCTCCTGGGCAGTGACCCTGAAATCCTGAAGAGGTGGCTCCTTTCTGAAAAGAAACAATCATGGTGCTCAGAGGGCTGCTGGTAGAGAAAAGTAGCTCAGGCCAAAGAGAAGAGGCTGGCTGCCTCTGTGGACAGGACATGGGCAAGAAGCAGGGCAGGCCAAACTGAGGCCAGGATTTCAACTGAGTCAATGTAAGATACTAAAAGAAAAGCAGAGGATTGCCACAGTGTCTGCTGGAAGGAGAGAGTCTGCGTGCAGACCTGAGTGGCCGGTGCTTGCCTGCACCGCACGGACACATGCAGTGCCCGTGTGCTCCTGGGCACCAGGCTGAGGCAGGCCGGTGTCTGCGAGCCCGTGCCCAGTGGGCCCTCTGGGCATCCCTAGCCCTGGTGGAGGGTTGGACAGGGGCAACCTTGAGGCGGCCAACTTCCGGGCCTCTGGGGAGGGTCTCCAAGCCAGGGCAGCCGGTGCCGGGCTGGAGAAGGAATGGACGCAATGGGAACTAGCCCCACATTGAGAGGGAGTCAGGGAGGAGCAGAGAGAGCAGTGGAACCCACTCTGAGAGACCCCTGAGGGTCCTGCTGTGACCGCTCATGTGACTGCTTTTACCCCAGGGAGTAGGAAGCAGGAGTGACACTTGCAGCCCTTCTAAGAAGAGCATACAAACTTTGTGCTCTAAGTCTGTGTGGCTCAAAATTCACTTTTTGAATTTTGAATTTTTTGTCTGTAACTAGGACAACTTGGGATGCACCACGGGTGTCAACGTGCTAAGTGGCCTCAGAGCAGCAACTTTACTTGAATTTTTGAAGAGGAAGGGGTTTGAATTTCCTCCTCTTAGAAGGATTTATTACATGCAGAAACAAGCAAAACTCAGCAGCTACCTGCCCTTTCTCGCGAGTCAGGGGGTGAGGAGGCCAAGGCCCACCAACAAGAAGACAGGTAAGCATTTCCTCCTGAACAAAACACTTTTCTGATATTAAAATAAATCTGATATTAAATTCTGATAAACTTATAAAAATGAATTCTGATATTAAAGTGAAAACAGAGCAGTAGGAGGCAAAATTTGTGTGATTTTTAAGAAAGAATGGGAGGTGCTGAGAAATATTCATCAGGCAAAGGGTGGGGAGCACCCTGGGCTACAGCCCTTTCTCCTTGCAGTCAAGGTGGCTCCTGTGAATGTTTGAGAAACACAACTGGAGGTGATGGGAGCCTGGAACATTCTCCAGGAGGAAGGAGACTTGGTCGTCATGTAGAAAGATCACCCTGGGTGAGGCTGCATGTTGGCAGGCGAGGCTGTGGACTGAGGCAGCCAGGGGGTGACAGGGCTGAGGCTGGGTAACACTCCCAGGCTTGTGCCCATACAGGAGCAGGGCTTTTGCCCCGAGACTGAGGACACCACCCTTCAGACACCCCAAACAATAAGCTCAGGTTGAACAGGTGTCATGGAGGCCCCCTGACCCCGCCCCACCAGCTCAACACTTACGGGTGGCAGCTGGGCCGTCCGGGCATCCAGGAGGCCGCAGAGAGGTGCACTCGCTCCCTGTCATCCTGTATCTGGAGCCGGATGGGCCGCCTCAGTCCCCAGGCAATATTGAGGAGCCCCTCAATGATCAGAGCCCCTTCTTCCTGTAGGAACCCACAAAGGTCAGCCTCTTTCCCAAGATCAGGTGTCCTCAGGGGTCACTGCCTCCATCCCCGAGCCCCCTCAGGACCCAGCCCCTCATCCATGGGACTCCAAGTACACTTGGGCCCCCAAACATACCCTCTCCTCCTGAGGTCCCGCATCCCCCGAGGGAAGGCTCACAAACTTCTACGTGCTCTGAGGCATCAGGCCACGGGGCCACCGGGCCAAAAAGAGGAAGCCTGAGGCATGCCCTTCCACTGCTCAGCCCATGCCTGGTGAGAGGCATGGCCAGGAACAGAGTGGCTAAGTCAGGTGTCCCACAGGAACCTAGCTGCTGTCCGGCAGGCATGTCCACAAAGCATAAGGAAATACTTTCCTGGGAAGCACGGTCGCGCTGACACCAGTGCAGCACAGGCACCTCTCCACCCACCACCATGCCTGGTCACCATGGTCACCAGGTCCTGCTGGGAACGTGCCGAGGACACTGGATTTCATGCCACCAGAGCAGAAGTGGCTGTTCCTTCTCAGCCCTACCCTTCTCCCAACACTGTTCTCATTAGTGGGCAGAAACCACCCCCAGATTTCTAAGCTGGCTGCTTTCCCGAGGCCCAGTCTTGCTGTTCTCACCACCTGGGACATTGCCAGCCCCACGTCTCACCACTGACACGCACACTTAGAATATCTATAACAGCTCTCATTCCGTGTCCTCAGCCAGCCTTGATTTCCCCAGGTCTGTGGATGGCAGGGCTACTCACCTGTTGCCAAACCCTGAGGTCCTAATTGACAGAGCTCTCCAGAGGCTCTCCTAGCCAGCGCCTACCAGCACCCCTCAGGTCCTTGATTCTGTTTCTCTGGCCTATTTCAGCCTCCTGTTTATGCATGACCATGTCCAGGCTCTCTGTGCCCAGCCAGGCTGCTCTGCTTGCAGCCTTAGAGCATCTGCCAGAAACCTTCTTGGCCTTACTCTTCACCAGAGCCATGGTCCTTCCAGCTACGTGCTCTTAATCTGCTTTGATACTAGTCTTTTGGCAATGAACTTTAAGCATCATTTTCCCATTGCTATCTCAAGCGCCATTTTAGGTTCACAAATCCTGTTTCTTTCTCCTTGTTGGCACTGAAAGCCCTGTAAGGACAAGGGCCTTGTAGAGAACTTCTTTATATCCCTGGCAGCACTTACAGAGGCGTCCTGCAGTGTTGATTTCATGGGTAGTTAGTAATGGTTTAAAACTCCCTGCCGTCTGATCAAAGTTATCAAAAAAACACATAGCTTTTTTTTCCTCTTTTTTTATTTTTCCTTTTTCTCCCCAAAGCACCCCCGGTACATAGTTGTATGTTTTTAGTTGTGGGTCCTTCTAATTGTGGCATGTGGGATGCTGACTCAGCATGCTCCGACGAGCGTTGTCATGTCTGTGCCCGGGATGTGAACTGGGAAAACCTGGGCTGCTGAAGTGGAGCACGTGAACTTAACCACTTGGCCACAGGGCTGGCCCCCAAATGCTTCTTTTTCTTTCTTTTAGTTTTTTTGAGGAAGATTAGCCCTGAGCTAACTACTGCCAATCCTCCTCTTTTGCTGAGGAAGATTGGCCCTGAGCTAACATCCATGCCCGTCTTCCTCTACTTTATACGTGGGACACCTACCACAGCACGGCTTGCCAAGCGGGGCCGTGTCCACACCCAGGATCCGAAGCGGCAAACCCCAGGCCACTGAGAAGCGGAACGTGTGAACTTAACCGCTGCACCACCAAGCCGGCCCCTACACATAGCTTTCTGAAATGACCTTGAACTATTTGCTAAAAAAGCAGACAAACACAAAAAAACAGAGCTATTTGATAACCACTGATGTTACACAGGCACAGATATGTAACTAACCCTCCCTATAAAGACTAGATTGATCCGTGGAAGTTAAAGGTCTTACAGGGTTAGCAAGAAAACCCAAAGTGGGGTTCAGTTCTTTGTTCTCAGTCTTGGGTTCGGATGCCCCTGTCAGATGTCAGCACTTCATTGGAGAGAGCCCAGCCCCACCTGGAACATCTCGGCAAGTTCATTCACGCAGACCCAGCAGCCCCACACTGGACCCTGGGTGGAGGGAGACAAAGCAGAGATGGCCCCGGTCATGAGGCGCTCATGTGGGGGGAGGAAAAGAGGGCACAGCCGCGGCAGGGGCAGTAGGCTGGAGACACCAGGGCCAGGCCTTCAAAGATGCTGCGGGCAGGTTCTGGGGACCTTGCAGTGAGGAAGGAGGCAGGAGGAATTGCTCTGGGACTAGGAACGAGGGGCTGAGGCAAAGCTGCTGCTTCTGACGTCAGGGATAAGCTGTGCTGGGGAGTGGCTGGCCCGATGTGACTCAGGCCTGATGTCTCTGCACAGGCAGCTTATGTGCCCCTGACTTGTTCCTCCATCAGAATGGAGGAAAGGCCCTGTCAGCCTGCAGCTGTCTGATCAAATCAGAGGAAGCCAGAGGTCACAGCGGAGAACCTTCAGGCTACTGGGCAGCCCTCACCATACAGGCAGAGAAGGGCGTGTAAGTGGAGGCAGGATGAGACCCGGGTCCTGGGGCCTCGCGTTTCCATAAGCCAGGAAGTCATTCTGGGCCCTCTCTCTGTCCCAGTCAATATTTCCCTCCTTAGCTCAGCCTATTGACTAATTTGCTAACGTGCTAGTGAATTCAGAGAGTCAGAGAAAGAGATAAAAGGCTCTACAGAAGCATCCAGACAGAAAATCTGTCAAGGTGGGAATTGCCACATCTAGTTATAAGCCTGATTACCCAGCTCTGACGGGCTTCCTGGCCCCACGCTTTTGCCCATGAGGAATACCCCACCCAGAATGCAAGAACTTGGGACCGCCAGCCCCTCCAGTTTGCCTTAGGAGTCTGGGATCAGCCCAATAATCAGACCTCAGGCTTGGGTTGCTATCTCAGTGGCTGCTTTCTGTCACCTGTGGCTGAGGACTGCGTGGATAATCTAAGAAGTCTGAAAAAGTGCATGGCGCCAATTCTTTACCAAGAGCTTTCCTGGGACCGCCTATCTCATCCTCAGCCGCCTCTGTGCTGGTCACCCCTGGACATCTGCAGTGGCTTATAATGCTGCCCAGATGCTCCCTGGTCTCCCCATTAGCTGCCCCTTTAGCCCATGCACAGTGGCCAGGCAAATCCTTCAAAGCAGAAGCCAGACTATTGCACCCTTGTTCAAACACTGCAGTGTTGTCCATCCCCCTCAGAGGGAAACCCAGGGACCACACCAAAGTCCACTGACTTCCTCCCACATGGGCCAGTCATGTGGGCCCCTTGCTATCTCCTGAGCATGTCCAGTACACTCCTTTCAGAGGGGCTTTGCACGCCCTGCCCCATCCACTGGGAACACAAACCCCTATTTGTTCAGATCCCTGCTCAATGTCCCCTCTTAGAGATGACACTCCTGACACTCTGCCACAGCTGTCCTGTACTTTTCTTTGCAGCTGGTATCAGTTCCTGAAATTACAGCACTGATCCACAAGCACTTGACCGTCTCCCTCACTAGAAGGAAAACTCCAGGACACAAGGACTTTATTCACTGCTATGTTCCCTGAGCCTAGAGCAGTCACTGGTGCACAGGAGAACTACGTAAGATACCTGGGAAAAAAGTAAACAGACAAGTTCTCCTTGGAAAGCACCACACCTGGGAAGCAGCAAGACCAGGACCCTGCAGGCTGCCCTTGCCTCAGAGCAGGCCCAGGGAGCTCTGCCTCAGCCACCTCCAGGCTGAGCCCTGCGTTGCCATGTCTGGCAAGGCTGCCTCACAGGTGCAGGCACAAGGCTCTCCCAGAACTAGAGCTGGGCAGAGTGTTCCAGGGTCGTAGGGTGCTGGTGTAATCTGTAGTGGGGAACTCTTCTAGGGGGTGGTGGCAGACCCTAGAGCTGCTTGTGGGAGCCCAGTGCAGCTTCCTCCTCCTCTCCCAGTGGCCTGAGGTGGCCAGGAGTCCTGTCCACCCCGCCCCGACCCTGCCCTGCAGAGTAAACACTCCCAGAGCCTCCCACAGGAGCAAACACTCTCCAGGCTGGCAGCTGGGCCAGGCCCCACCCACCAAGCTGTTTTCCTCTGAGAGCCTTCCCAGGCTGCTATTTTTGGCCCTCGTGACAGTAATTGATGGCTGGTGGAAAGATATAAAAGCAGCTGCCAGGTCTGGGGGTTTGCAGACAGCTCAGGGAAGATTTCGCTCTGGACAGTGGCACAGCAGACAGAGGCCGTGGCACATCGTCCTCACCGACCTCCTGCCGGCGATCCGACGCGGACATAGGGCTCTGACTGCTGGCCCCCCATCCCTCTGCCCTAGCTTCTTGGGGACTTCCCGCAGACTGCCCTTGCTCATCCAGCATCCCTGCTAACCCCCAGAGCCCCTCTGCCACAGGTAAGAGAGAGCAACTGCCCTCTGGTTTGAGATAAAACAAAAAGGCTTTGTGTATCTTTGAGGGTGGTTCTCTACCTGGGACTTGCACAGCCTCACTGCGGATTAGAGACCAGTTAATGGCAGTGATAACAGCTGTAGAGGGCTTTATATTTATAAAGGGATTTCACATGAGGTGTCACTCCATACATTTCTCACAACCCCTGTGTGGTGAGTATTTATAACCCCATTTTATCAAGGAGTAAGTCAAGGCTTAGAGAGGTGAACTTGCCAAAGGTCCCCAGGTCAGGAAGTGGCAGAGCCTGGTTTTACCCAGGTTTCCGCTGACCCAGACTGGGTTCTCTTATCTGTACATGTTCCTAAATGATAGTCTTAGGTACGTGGGCTTTTAATATTAGCAGGAAGGAATGCCCAGGGGTTTGCACCTGGTCTAGAATCTGTAGGCTTCACAACACTCAGGCACAGGATTCACACAGCCAGCCTCAGATGAGGGAGGGGACACGGGGGTGTCAGGATGGCATGCAGACTCTCACTCTCTGCCAACCAACAGGTTGCTGCTTCTCTGTCGCTGGCAGCCATGAGGTCCCGGCTTCTGCTTTCTGTGGCCCACCTGCCCACAATCCGGGAGGCCTCGGAGGAGATGCTGCCCGGGGGGCCTGGGCAGGAACTTCCAGCCTCCCCCAGCCTGGATGACTATGTGAGGTCTATCTGTCAGCTGGCACAGCCCACCTCAGTGCTAGATATGGCTACAGCCAGGGTCCGACCCAGCAGACCCCACCGGACAGCCCGAGCCTGCGAGAAGAGCTGCCCCCCTGGGTCCCTGCAGGACATCACCACCCACTTCAGCACCCAGCAGCCTGCAGCGCCCAGGCCCGGCACTGCCGACCCCCTGGACTGGCTCTTTGGGGAGTCCCAGGAAAAGCGTCCAAGCAGGAGAGAACTGCCAAGGATGACTGGTCCTTCTGCTGAGCCCAGGGGTCCACGCAGACAGATGGACAGCAGCAAGGCCTGGAGGGCCCCCAAAGGGAGGCTCGGTGATGCCAGGATGCCCAGACACTCTCTAGCAAGACCACTGAGGGATGGGCACCAGGACACCCCCAACAGCCGCTGCCCCAGCAGTGTCCTCAGAACTCTCTATCTGCAGCTCCCGGTGATCCATGAACTCTGACCCCTCCTCAATAAAGGCTTCTGTACCGAACATGCAGGTCTATGTCATCTCCCCACCCTCCCTCCCCTGAGGTGGGCCCTGCCCCTGGCAGGTCTCTGGGAGGGAAACACCTTTCTGCAGGGGCTGCCTGCTTTGGCAATTTACAGCAAGACCCCTACTCTGAATAGGATAACAGCCTATTTCACGTGATGTGATCCGGCTCACACTGCTCATTACTGGCTGATCACCTTGGGCAAGTTGGTTAATGTCTCTGTTCCTTGGTTTTCTCATGGGTAAAGTGGGGGAAATTAATGGGACCTGTCTGCTGGGCTGTAAATGTGATAAAACCCACACACCTCATGAGGCGCATGTTACAAGCCCATACACGGAGTAGCTGTTGTCTCTGTGGCTGCCTCAGAGGACTGGAAATGAGGTTAGGTGAGAGAAGAAGCGAAGGTCTCAGCCCCCCACTGGTTTCAGAGCGAGGCCCTGGGCACTCCCAAGTCAGCCTCTTGGCCCCCACCCTCAGAGTCTGTGTTCCAGGAGGCCCAAGAGAAAACATGAGGTCTCAGCAAATGTACCCACTGTGTTTCAAGGGACCTGTCCAGGGGTGCCTGGGAGAAGCTCAGTGGCTCCAGCCCACAAGTTCTGTTGTGTCATCAGGAGAGTTCTCCCCATGCTGAGGGCCAAGACAGAAGCTGCACCAGCTCAGCCTGCAGGGCGCCCAACGCCTGGACCAGATGGCCCCATCCCCCTTCATCCCCACTCCTACCCCCTCCACCCAGGGGGGCTCCCAGCTGTGGGAGGAAGCCCAGGGTGTTGTCCAGATGTCCTGCTTTCAGGCAAGTCCAGGGACCAAGGCCTCACCCCACAGAGGCTCAGGCCAGCCTGGGCAGCCCTGGGTCCCCCACAGCCTGGCAAATCCCCGTTCCCGGAGGCATCTGGTCAGCAAGGAGGTAGGGGTAAGGAAGGAAGGTAAGGAGAGGGAGGATTTCCTTCCTCAGAGAAGCAGGTGAGGCATCAGACAACTCAAAAGATATCAGGCCTGAGGACCTGTCACCCTGTTCCCTTGGGCCAGGCTGGAGCTGGCTGACCATGGCTTGGGCAGAAGGGACAGAGACGAGAGGAAGAGGACAGAGCTGGGCCGGCAGCTGAGCTCACTGCCTACTTCAGTGGACATTCAAACTTTTCTGGCTATTTTTAAATTTCTTTGGACTTTAATAACGTTTATCTGTCCTCTTACATGTGTGTTTTGTGGAGAGGCAGAATGTAAATCAGATTTAAAAGAAGTTTCAGACAAGCAACTTAGTTTCCTTATCTGTAAAATGGGGGCCCCAACACCTACCCTTCATACCTACAGGGCTCAGGGAAATGGGACAAGTGAACGTGGAGGTGGAGTTACAAGCACCATATACAAACGTTTGCATCTGTCACAACCAGCTGAGTCTCTGCTCAGCTCAAACCTGCGGGTCTCTCACCTTCTCCGGAAAATACATGCGGGGCAGCCTTCAGCCAGAACATCCTTAGGAGGTGGTGGGCAGGCTGACCTGCCGAGTGGGCGCCTCGCTGGTGAGTGGATGGGCTGGGCTTATTGGGCCCAGCCTCACTGCAGCCCCTTCTGTGAAGCACTGTGACACTAGGTCAGAGGGAGGCAACTGGGATGATGTTGGCCAATTCCCCCCAGCTCAGAAACCACACTTCTGTATTTGGGGAGGTTAGAGGGCGTGAAGAGACCCTTGGACTCTGGGCTCCTCTGCTAATATCTCCCGATGTGAAAGAAGTTAATGATACCTTCAAAATATGCCAAAATATTTTTTTTGTTTTTGAATAAAGGGCTGTGGGAAGAAGAGGCTTCTGGCAGTGTCCCAAGCTCCTGCAGGACAGAACAGCTTAGCAGAAAGTCCTCACGGGGTGGGGGTGGGGCCTGGGCTAAAGAGCAGTCTCATTTCCTCCCACCCACTACCGGAATAGGGAAGGCACACAACGCCCAACCCAGAGGGGCAGGTTGGGAAGCACTCTGGGGTGCCCAGGGAATATGTTCAGGGGCCGAGCACTCACCCAGGGGCCAGTGGTTTGTCAACTGCCCATCGTTCCTGCCTTTAGGCCTCAGAAGAAGAGGGATCATTATAAGAGGGAAGGGCACCCTGACTTTCTGCCCCCTGGGAGAGACAGCGCTCTTTCCTTTCACACATTGAGCAGGGGGCCTGCGGCTCAGGCTGGGGACTGGGAGTGGTGCATGCTCCTGCCACCAGGGGGAGCCTGCAGCCCACTGAGTGCTGAGCGAGAGGCAGGTGGGAGGTTGGGGCCACAGGCACACACCAGGACACGGGGGTCCTACTGTCTCTTGCTCACACAATTTGTCAACGGTGATATATTTACCCACTGGTGTTTACAGGGTCTGTTTTTCTCTTGAGATGCCAACCAACTTGGTTAAAATGCTTTGCTATCTTCAAATGCACAGATTGCTCCCAGATACTCATGCTTTTCATTGTAACACAAGCAAAATTATCCCAAAGGCAAGACTTAAAATGAAGGAAGCTAGTGCCTTGGCCTCCTGAGCGGGTAATCCCTCTCCCCTAGCCCTTAGGAGGCTGGGGCAAGGTTCCCAAGGAAACACTTGCCCCAGGGTGTGCCCCCTGCCCACTGACATACTTCATCTCTCCAAGTTCTGTGGACCCCAGACAAAGCAGCAGAGGAGAGGATGCCCCTGAAGTGTAGTGGTCTGGCTACAATTGCTCCGGGGAAGCCCCAGTGACAACGGGACGGGTCTTCCAGGGCCCCACATGGCGGTGAGAGAGCACACACCCGGTGCTGAGCCCCTCATCAGCCAGAGGAAACTTAGCTTGGGGATCGAGGGTGACAAACAGCATTCTGAGTCCCTGAGGCTTGTTGAGTGATATGCCACCAAGACCTCCAAAGACCTCCAAAGCTTAATGCTGGAAATGATACTGCTGTATTATAAACTTCTGTGCTCAGGCCCGGGAGCCATGCCAGCGTCTTTCACCTACTACAGTGCCATCTTGGATGAGAAACTTAAACTCTGAGAACCTCAATCTCTTTGTCTGGAAAGTGGTCACTCCTACGTTGCAAAGCTCTTGTATTACAACTAATAAAACAGAGGCAAAGCATCTGGTGCATTGGAGGTGCCTGGAGAATCATGGGTTCCTCCCGTCTGCCTGCAGTGCCCAAGGAGAAGTCGGCCTGGGGAGGCCCTGCAGCAAGTGCCTAGAATTGCAAGTTCCCCAAGGCCCAAGAGATCCCACGTCTGCAATCCGAGAAAGTGTAGAGGCCCTGGGTGGTGGGTGGGTCACTGAGGGATGTGGTGTCCCAGGAACCAGTCATGCATTTCAGCCTCAGAACCCCGTGCCTCCCAGGCCTACAGCCTGTCTTTAGGGTGGTGGTGACCTCCCAAAGACGCACACTCCCTCAGACTGGGATCCTTCACTGTTAAGGCTCCAGAAGGTTCCTGCATGGTACTTTTTGGCTCCAAGGAGATCAATTCAGACCCTCACATCTTCTTTAGGGCTAGGAAGATGAAAATCCCTGCTGTGGGATGTTAACTTCCTACCTCTGGCAGCTGTCAAGGACACCTCTTCCCTATTGTGGGTCCCCACTTCTCCAGGTGGACTGTCCCTTCACATACAAATACAGGGCACAGGTTTGGGGCTTCCCAGCCCCACTCCCCACACAGCTGTTCCTACAGAGGGGATTGTCTTGGGGAATCCCAAGAGCCAAGACCAAGCTCTTAGACTAGTGTTTCTGAAACTTTGCCTTCCATCAGAATCCCCTGGAGGGCTTGTTAAAACACAAATAGATGGGTGAAGAGTTTCTGACTCAGCAGGCCTGGGGGAAGGAGGGTGATAGGAATTTGCATTTCTAACCAGTTCCCAGGTGATGCTGAAGCTTGTTGGTGTGAGGACTATAGGTGGAGAGCCACCATGGTCTTAGATCAATCCCTGAATGGCCCAGGGCTGAGCAACAGGGCCCAGCCCATGCCTTCAGCGCAAGAACCAAAGTGAGCCTAGCTCCTCACTTAACAGCACAGATCAAAACTTCCCAGCGCAGTGGAGCTCAGGACTTACCCCAATTTGTCCCACACCTGTACCTGATGGCTAGTCATCCCACACCTCTGCACAGGTATCACCCTGTGCCTGGCCCACAGGATGCGGAACCAGGTAGGCACCTAGGCCTAGGTCTGCGGGTTTACCACCCAAGTAAGAAAAGAGACAGTGAAACCAGAGAAAGCAGGGCAATGGGATCAGAACCTGCAGGTAGCAGTAAGGGCTGAGCCAGGGCAGGCTGATGAGACAGATGTCAGAGACCACTCCGCAGGGGAAGAACATGAGGAAGGAAGCACAGGGCAGCATGGAGGGGATGGGGAACAAGATGTCAGGGCTGGCCCCAAGGCCCTGTGCAGAGCTTCAGGTCAAGGGGAGGTGGACCCTGAGGGGTATGCCATCCAGGTCATCACACACAGCCCAGCTCTGCCTGGACCATGAGCCAGCAGCCTCCCTCCCATTTAGGCTGCTGAACCATGACACTGGCCTGGCCTGGCTGACTGGAGGCTGATGGAGGCAGTCTGGTGAATGGGTTCCAGTTGGCCCTCCTTCCTGGTACTGACTGGCAATCCCTAGCTGCCTAGACATCAGGGCTCGCCCTCTGGTCTGGTAACTGAAGAAAGATGTGTGGCTGTCTGAATAACTAATGGAAGCCAGGACTAGTGAGCAGAGTGGCCTCTTTCTGGATGAGGTCTCTGTGGGTTGACCTGGGCTTGAAGTGCCCTTTCCTGTGTTCAACAACAGAAGGTGGACTTGGATGCCACTGGTCAGACTGACTGGCCGGAGAAAGTCCAGGAGCCAGCCCGATCTCACCCTCAGACACCTCCCAAATAAAACATTACCACTATAAGACTCCCCATTAGGTTTTACAAATAAATTGAATTAGACCAAGATGGGGGCCCAATGTCCCGAGTGGGGTTCCCACGTGAAAGGCAAGACTAGGCCTCTGCTTGATCTGCCTGGTGAGTGGTTCCCCGAGCCTAGGCTCTGCTG